TGGTGATTCTTGTGTTACGGGAGCATCGACTGACGATAAAGGTGGACCCACAAAAGACTTGGAACCGAAATATATTCATTAATTTCGAAGTGAATGGCTTAAAAAGTTTGATTGGTTGGATTTTGACGAAAGCACTGGGATCATGACCTGCAAACTTTGCAAACAGTCGAAATACAAAAATACTATGACTATGAACTGTAGAAATTATCATTTGACAACATTATCTCGACAAATGAGTTTGCCTGATCACCAAAATGCACTGAAAGACGATGTTATGAGAAGAAACTTTAACAGAGCTACAAATGAAGTAGTGTGTAGAAAAACAGATTGTTTAGTTTCTGCAATGTCCCCATCAAGAAATAGACTGTCATCTGTCACCGTAAACAGACTCATGTTGATAAAACTACAGGGGTCCACACTTGACAAGTTTGACTTCAGGAAGGCTGTTTCTAAGTGGAAGGCCAAGAAGGAGAGAAGAATTTTCAAACATTCTAATTAAAGACTTAAAGGGGTCCACTGTGTAGATATTTAACCGATCTAAGGGTAAGTTTGCAGAAAATAAAATTATTTACTTAAATATTTCTAAAAATAATTAAATATCAGTATAATCACACTTCTAAGTTATTTTATGTACACTATAGTATGCACATAATAGCATGTGCACACTAATATAGGTGTTTGGCACAGAAATTGAAAGGTAGTGAGTCAACTGGCTCAAAAACAGCAAATCCTAGATGCAACACTATAGATATTAAAGACAATTAGACCTGCAGCGACGGCAGGTCTGCTACTGTGACATGACCTGACCTAACAACAAGGGAGACAACCAAATGGCCCTACTGAAGATACTTCTTAAAGCATTTTTCACATTGTGATCAAAAACAGTCAATTCAAAACAATGTATTTTTCCAGAATGTTTTGCACAGTGCTATGTGTTACCATTTGTGTTGTTGTTGATAAACTGATCCTATTCGCCTTGTATTCAATATTAGTCTGCTCAGGTTTATTGTGTGGTATGTCTAAAATTAAGATGATATTTGCATTGGGATGGGAAATAAATAGTTGTTTTTCTGATATTTTTACCCATTTTGCTTTTAAATTGTTTAGGGGTCTGCTGATTTGTGAACATGGTAAACCAGTTTATAACAAAGTATTACCCGATCATTTGCTAAGATTGCTTTTCTCTGTAAAAAGTGTTATGTTGTGTGACCAAATATGCTTGTTATGTCATTTTCTCTCAGAAAGTCTTCAAAATAGGCAAACCAGACACAGTGTCAATCATGTTAATCATGCATTGATTAATGGTGTGTAACCAGTAAATTGTTCTGTAATACTACTGGTAGACATTATGGAAATGTTTTGGGTTGTCCTGGTTAGTGATGATACAGGTGTTTGTATTGGTACTACAGCAGTAGTTGTGAGGATATTCAACATGTTTCTACATAGATACACATGATGAAACCTGATGAAATATGTCGTTGGTGCACTAGTATAACTTATGTTGCTGCTTGGTAGAGGTGACAGAAAACAGGACTAATAAACAAAAAGAAGCTGTTGCGTTTTGTTTTCCTTTTTTGCTTTGAGTGAAATATGAAATAAACTTTAATTTAAAAAAAGGGAATTTTAAGAAAACCCCAAATTTTGAACAGCTACCTTTCTTTCCTAATTTATCAACCAATGGCACTCAGTTTGAAACCTTCAAACGTCACTGTGGGGATCCCTCTTATCAAGGTTGTATATCTGGGCAGTGTCATTAAAGTGTGAATTAAATGACCTTGAATGCCTTGTGGAATTTTGTGACCAGTGTATGATCTTTTTTTCTGAATCCCAGTTAATGTTTTGTTGGGTTATTTTTCAATACAGAAGAAGTTAATACAATTACTGTTTTTGTCCTCCCAAAGCAAAGTTTGCACTTCTTTGATAGCATAAAGGACACAAAATGTGAAAAAAAACCCAGGTCAGAGCCTATCAAATTTGAATTCCAGTACCGCATTATGGAAATTCATCCCTAAGAGAAGATGCATAAGCTCAAGGTCTCCCAAACTGATGAAATCTGACTATGTTATTCAATCGTTACATTAAGCGTAAAGTATACATGTACAGATGTAGTTTGTGTTTGTGGATGGATGCTGTGGTTGCCTTGGTTTTATCATGTCCATCACAGATTCTTGTAGTACATGACTGCATGTTGCTCACAGTAATATAAACTCTATATGTGGACATGTACAGATGTAGCTGTGTGATGCTGAATGATCTTTGGTTGCCTTGGTGTTTATCTATGTTTCTTGTATCCCAGGACTATACGTGCCTTCACGCTAGATGATGGGTTTCATTGAACAAATGGCCGAGAGTGAGTATACTATGTTATCCATTGTTATGTTACCTGTTCTTAAGTACTTGTGGACTTAATATTTACTATTATTTAGTAATACTAGTGTTGGGAATTGGTTAAAATCCCATAATTGATGATTGGTTCATTACAACCCGATCAATCATCGAAAATAATTGGTTAGCATAATTTATGAAATTTTTCCTGGTTATTTTTGTTTGGCTTAAAAAACAAAAAAAAAAAAACATGTTGTTCTTTGATTTTTGGGGGCAAATTGCACATCTTTAAAGGATGACTAGTATGTTAGGAACATTAATTTCTTGGAGTCTTTAAGATAAATTCAATCATGACTTGGAACGAGCTTGTAGTGCTTGTGAAATGTACCAGACAAAACCAACCTTGTGAAAAGTGTTGTTAATGCAAAAAGTTTTCAAGAATTGTTTGTGTTCGATTATGAGAAAACATGATCGATTGCTTGGTCGTTTAGTCACTTCGACCAATCTTCGATTATTTCAATTTCAATTAATCGGACCACCACTAAGTAATACCAGTGATGTTTTAGTGATTGGTTTATCAATTCATTGATTAATGATCAGTTGCCTTATACTAGTACTGTGATTCATTGTGTTCATAATTGTTATTTGATTGATTTAAAATTTGTGGTTAATGTCTGTATCACATCTGCAGAGGAAACTGCCATGTAATTACTGTCATATTCTTTTCAAAGTGCAGTAAAGCCGACCTATGTGAGTGCAGCTTGAAGCTGTGTTGTCATACAGTATTGTCATACCTTTTCTAAGCCCTGTAAAGCCTCACTCACTGAATGTGTGTTACATTATTGCCAGTCAGTATTATCCTTATTATGTTAAATGTGTTGGAAAGTCCATACTGGTGTATTGACAGTGTATGGGAGTAACAATTCACCAGAGTCACGAACAGATGTTACAGGATATGTTACACAGAATGCATGTTTTCATTCTTATATGTAGTACACATAAATAGGCTATGATGGGTGGAAAAAAACTCATCAGTTCAACTTATTTTGAGCCATCATGTCATGGATGGAAAAGTTGTCTTTAAGCAATCAATTTGGGTTGTTCATAGTCTTGACATATTAAGGGGTATTGTTTTCTGCCAACTACACTTGGTTTTAAGGTATGCGTGGTTGCAATATGACTGTCAGTACTCTGAATAAGGTAAACGGAAGTTGTATGTTACACAGGCACACAGATTTCGTGGCAATTAACATGCTTGAATGACATTTTGAGTAAAATTGATAAACGTGACTATGAACGTAAGTCCAGATGTGTAAAGAACATATGTTATTACTTGACAGTGTAACAGCAGGATGAGCCTGAACAGTCTGTCTGCAGCATGCTCTTATGCTTTGTCAGTACCTGGTTATTGCCCAGTTGGACCGTCTCACGAGTTGGCACTGCAAGTGCCAGGGGCAGCTGTGTTTTGTGATGCTTCATCATTGTTTAATGAAGATGGTTATTGTTGGAGGGAAGACATGACATAAGTTATATAAGTGATAACTGTAAGTCATTTGAGGCAGGGTAGTTTACTTCTCAATCAGTTAATCCTGTCTGGAAGTTACGGGCCTAAACTCTGTAGATAGATTTCCTGCGATTTAGATTGCTTGGCTGAAATTAAATAAACTTTGCAAGTATTCAAGCATTTGTTCATTATTTGGTTGTGTGTTTCCTGTAGGTACTATGTGCAAAGCCTAGTTTTGGTGTCTCTATGATTGGCTAGAATGTTGTTACTAAAAAGTGTAAAACCAGACCCTCACATGCTGGTAGTAGCAATCTGTGCTAGTGCAAGATAACAAAGTTAGTGATGTGTTTTCTGTGAACATGACTACTATTAACAATTTTGATTATATTCTCCAAAAGCAACTTGGTTACAGAGAGTCGCCGAGCCAATCCCCGCAGCAGGAGAGTTAGACCAGCAGCACAATTTGCAGAGGTGTGTACCAGTTATACAGGAAAAAACATATGTTGGGGCAGTACTGTACATTCCAGTGCTTGCACCATGTTGAAAATAGCATAATAAAGCTATGTTTTGCAATATTTCAAGAAAATGACATGCTCCTCATTTGGAAATACCAACATTTAGGCACTCGTGTGGTAAACATAGTATGACATGGGCACTCATATAATATCCTCTATATATTTGTATGATCATGTACTACTTTGTACAATTTGATGTCCCTTTATGGACATACATATCATGCTAAAACAATTAAGGACACCTGTGTATTTTTATATGATAAAAGTTCATCTGTCATGGTCGATTGGTATTGCAACACACAGCCTACCAATATAGGGTTACTTTAACTTGTTTTGAGCAGTATATAGTGAGATACAGGTCTCTTACATTTAGAACATATTAAGCAAAGCAAATGAAGAATTGTATAGTAATAATACTCAAACATAGTTTTATGAATAATAACTCCAGTGTTTAGTGATTGTATTTCTTCTTGTGTCTCTGTTTCTCCTTCTGTCAGTGTCTTTCTTTGTTTTTCCAGCTATGGAGTAGAGCATTCCTAGATTCATTTAGAAATAATACAACTGATCGCAATGATAGTTCAGGGCCTTGGCCCCAGAACAGGGATTCAGATGAGGAGGAGCCCGAAGAAACCGCAGATGGTCGACGTCCCTTTCAGGTCCGATTTGCACCACGAACAAGGATATCTTTCCGAAGAGGCGGGCGACCTAACCCTAGTAGAAATCCTTACCTAGAAGGGTAAGCTTATATCCCTCCCACAGAATATCAGTGTATAATCAAGATGACAGGCACACAAAAAATGTCTTAGCATCCTTCAATATAGGAAAACAAAACAAATCTCTCTGTCTCTCTCTCTCTATATATACAGCCACATATCATAAAGAACTATTCAGTATGTTGCCAATGGTTGAGTTAGGATCAGTAGACTAAACACTGTCTGGCACTGACCATTTATCTTAACTGATGTATCAATATAGGCCTGTAAAATAAGAAGACGATTGCAGTAACAGGACAATGAGAACTTGATGGTTGCTCTGTTTTGTTTATTCTCTGCTTTCTGTTGACAGAAAATCATAAAATGATTGTTCCTTTTTCAGATTAGTAAACTATTTTATATCTCGGCTTGGTGTAGATCCAGCAGCGCAGGGTGGCTCACCTATGTAAGTACAGTTTCTACAGGATTCACGAACAGTATCAGTGTCTTTGTGATGTGTCAAGAGGTAGGATGATCAGCTGTTGATGGAAGGCAAAGTCCTTATTTCCTTGGTATTATAACATTGGTTTCAGTGAAATGAGACAGCACTAAGAATTATGTCTGTTTAAGTTAAAATCACTTTTGAATAGCCTGTCAAAAATTGTTATGGTTTTACCTCACATGTTCTGAAAGTTAATCATCATGTTTGTCAATTTCTCTGAACCATTGTGGTAGTGAATCTGAACTTGTATGTACAACAATAACCATTGTCTCACAGTCTGCTGTCTTCAATTTGCAGAGGAATGTTTCATCTCCATGGCAACCCAGGAGACTATGCATGGGGAGCAGGGGGCCTCGATCACATTATCTCACAGGTGGGTCAGGGATCTTAACCATTTTCTTTACAGCCACAGGTCGGTCTGAGGTTTAACTATTACCCATGTGACCTCACTAGACACATTTGTGTTTAACATTACAACATGTTTGTAAAAATACTTAGTGACGGTGGTGTACAACAATGCCTGATTTACAATTTAATCAGAAACTGGTTGGGTTTTTTTTTGTTCTCACTGTCAGGAGATAATGTACAATTTCTTCCTTTATATGATTCTGCAGGGAGTGTTTTGTTGCATCAAAGAAAAGTACAATATATTCTTTTTCAGGTATGACCATGTCCATAATGTTTTAAATGTGATATCTCGCCACGAACAACAATATTCTCTTATGAGGAACAGGTATATGTATTCTTGGTATGTGCGTTGTCTGTGTGGAATTATTTTCATGCCTGGATCTTATCAATAAGTGTGAAATAGAAGAAGAAAAGGGGAGGTAATGCAGCGAGCTACTTCCCTTGATATGCATTTATCAGAGTTTAATCTGAAAAAGATGCAAATAGTATTTTAATGTTAAGTGATGATGATAATGATCTTGTCTCTGTTTACTGTTTGCTTTGGAATCTGTAGTGTTACATTTGAAATGGTTGTGTTTGTTGATACAGTTGTTGAACCAGTTAGAGGGTGCCGGCGCCCCACCAGCAGAGAAAGACAAGATAGATTCACTACCAACAGTTAGAATCACCAAGGAACAAGCAGGTCGGTAGATGACCCTGTGTCATTGTGCAATGTAAGCCCCCTTTCATCTTCAGCAACTTAAAAGCTGAATGTCCTTGAGTCTAGCCCTTAGTTACTAGCTCAGTGTTTCTTTCTTTACTCTTTAATGCTGCACACAGCAATATTCCTGCTGTGTGCCGGTGGTCAGTCAAGTTATAGCCAGACAGTCCATTGATTGACAACATGGCCATCAATGTTTGGGGATTCAGTGACATGCATTGATGGAGTCAGAGAGCATGTCCATTTCTTAGTATCCTCCTGTAAGAAGTATGGTTTCCTGACGATCAGTTCTATTCTGAATCTTTGGGGAAAGAGGGAAAACAAGCATGTGTGGCTGATGACAATTTGAACACAGATCTTCAAGGGTCACTTGAGAAATGTTGATATCTAGACATTTAACAGAGTTGGTGAACTTGTCACGCTTTACGTCATCTGTGTGTGAGGAACTGTCATGTTCTGGTTCATATTGCTACTGTTACACACTGGTGTAGAGACAGTAAGGTAGGAATTAAGTTTATTTATTTTTAGTTGAATTTTTAACTGTTTGACTTTCACTCATTCATTTGGCTTCCATTCAGATCGCATCCTTCAGTGCTCAATATGTATGGAAGATTTCCAAGTGGAAGAGGAGGCCAAGAAGCTGCCCTGTGAACACCATTATCATACACAGTGCATAAATAAGTGGCTGGAACTGGTGAGTGTCCCACTGTCAAGACTTGATTCTCTTGACCTTTCCACATACAAAAAATACCAGAACATCTCTATTTTAATTTTGTTTTAGCATGTTTAGGATTGGCTTGGTCCAACAGATAATCTAAGAAATTGTTTTGGTATCGCATGGATAATGAGTCGTTAGTGTGTTTGTTGTCTAAGGACACACTCGGTGACATTCACTCTGAATGATGTTATGATGGGTCTCTAAGAGAACATGTGTAGGTGTACATGGTGTCAGTTAAGAAATTCAGTTCTCTCTACCACCATGTATAGTGTAATACAGTACAGGTTCTCTCTACCACCATGTATAGTGTAATAAAGTGCAGGTTCTCTCTACCACCATGTATAGTGTAATACAGTACAGGTTCTCTCTACCACCATGTATAGTGTAATACAGTACAGGTTCGGCTCTACCACCATGTATAGTGTAATACAGTACAGGTTCTCTCTACCACCATGTATAGTGTAATACAGTACAGGTTCGGTCTACCACCATGTATAGTGTAATAAAGTACAGGTTCTCTCTACCACCATGTATAGTGTAATACAGTACAGGTTCGGTCTACCACCATGTATAGTGTAATAAAGTACAGGTTCTCTCTACCACCATGTATAGTGTAATACAGTACAGGTTCGGTCTACCACCATGTATAGTGTAATACAGTACAGGTTACAGTACAGGTTCTCTCTACCACCATGTATAGTGTAATAAAGTACAGGTTCTCTCTACCACCATGTATAGTGTAATACAGTACAGGTTCTCTCTACCACCATGTATAGTGTAATAATAAAGCACACTTTTGCCCTGAACTATTACAGTTAAAACCCGAGGACGCTGGCATCCAAGTGCTTTAACATTATTATAGTTCAGGGCGAAAGTGTGCTTCATTACACTATACATGGTGGTAGAGCGGACTGTATTTCTTTTCTAAGACGCCAAATTCTTACTGACGATCAATGTAAGGCACAAAAAGAATAAAAGAACGACGTTGTCAGTGACATAAATTTACCATCCATGTTCAGGGCTAACTTACATGCTGTTCTATTGACGTGTCTGCCCCCTACATTAAAGCGCACATTACCAGAAAAACAAATGATAAACAGTTTGATGATGGCTTACGTTCAGGTTAAGTATCTTCTCTAAATTATTTTAATAACATCTGTGATTAACGAAAACCATATGGGGCATTATGAACGTTGCACTTCTACTACCAACGTAAGTTTAGATCAGTACATCCAGATGAAACTGACTAGTCACGCGACATTCCACGGATGTATTGTGGGAATGTAAACATTGCGAATGTTGCAATGTCTCTGTTTAATTGTCAAACTGAGACATTGCATTCGCCGAAAAAACTAAATGTAATGTTTCCACCAGTTTTGTTAGCCGAGTGAAGCAACTGCAAAACAAGAAATGGGGTATCACGGAGTAGTTTACCGTAGGAGACTGTACGAGGTGATGACAACTGACATGCATCGTGATGTCGGTTACCAAGGGTACATTCGATTACGAGGGGGCAGACTAGAATGGCGAAGTGATGCTGTTGTAGCAGGGCGTGGAGTCATCCCACAGATGACATCCTTACCTTGTCAGCTTTCTGACAGGGTTAACCTCTTTGGTCATGTGGACAAGGCGTCCAACTTTGGATCAAAAGGTCCGTGGTTCGAATCCCAGAGCGGGACTCGGAAATTTTATGGCCCCATATTGGCACCCAATGTGAAACTGAGCACATTCATATGAAATTTGAGCAAAATAAGACACAGGACCCTGCTATGCGGCCCGGGATGTGCCTTCTGTTGACGGGGAGTATGTAGCAGGGTGTGGAGTCATCACACAGATGACATCCTTACCATGTCAGTTTGCTGACGGGGTTAACCTCTTTGGTCATGTGGACAAGGTGTCCGACTTGGGATCAGAAGGTCCGTGGTTCGAATCCCAGAGCGGGACTCGAAATTTTATGGCCGCTACACTAATACATTGTGACGTAATGCAAAAAGTCTGATAAAGTACTGCCGGCGCCTTTGACCTTTTACCGAAGCATCTTAGAATGTCTGTTATTTCATGCTATGAATTGTGATGTGATGATGACCAACTCTTTCTCTGCCTTGCAGCATGGAACATGCCCTGTGTGTAGGAAAGACTTGAATGGAGAGACTTACAAGGAGGACTTTTCGCCCTCCATGAACAGTGATAGCTCCAACTCTTCAGATGAGTTTCAGAGCTTGCACTGACACAGTCAGGCAAGTTTAAGAGCACTAGACTGGTTGGGAGCACTCTAAAGCCAGAAGGAACTGGTAAACGACGTGTAACAGTGTTACTTGAACATGTGTGTGGTCACTCAGTGTGTGGACATGTTTAAAACTCCTAGCTTTACCCCATCACCACAAGCTGTATGCTCTACCATCAACTGAATCACTTGGGTTCCATCTGGATATATGGATCTGTAACCATGGTGACTTATTAGGCATAAAGCGATGCACCAACTTCATTGAACCCCGATCATACAGAGAGGAAAGGACAGGAAATTATTGACTCAAGAGAGAATCAGAGAAATAGTCTTTTCCCACTAATCCTTCCTTACCTGAGTGTGTGGACACATAATGTGTACTCAGCAGAGGAAGGAGGGACCAGAGACTCCAGGTCATAATAATATAGGTTAATAGGTTGTATATAGTGCCACTGAACCCTTAGCTTGTTATCTTCATTAGTTTATAATATTCATACTTAGATGTACATTTGGGTATGTTTTTTAATGTGTTATGTATATTTCCAACCTGAGAAAGTGTTGTTTTAATCATTCTGTTCATGGTCTTTGTGTACAACTCACTTAATGTTTCATGTGAGTGTGGTTTGTCTTTAATTCTTATTATCAGTGCTGTGAAATATCAGTTTGTAAGGAACATGTGAAGAAAGCTTCAGTCAAGACTTTTTTCAGTTTTAACTAGTAGGAGATGAGGATTTGAAAAGTTTGTTGAAGGCAATTAGACAGAATCTTGATGATCCAGGGGATTGCACAGTGTATTTGAGCATATATTTGTTGCCATGACCACAATGACTTCATATTCATTCGACATCAAAGAATTCAGTTTGCAGGTCAATATTTTGATATGTCAGAGTTTTATGTCAAATTATGGTTTGTGGGATTATGTTTGATTCCTGGGAATGAGAATTTCACTTTTATCATACATGACGTCACAGTATACACATAAATCATAGATTTGCTGAGACTGTCAGCTAGGTTTCAGTAAAAAAAACACATTCTCATCCCAGGATGTCCATTGTGCTTTGGTGATGCAGCCAATTGTTCTGTTGGGGAGCCTTGTGGTTAAAGTGTTCGCTCATTGTGCCCAAGACCCAGATTTGATTCCCCACATGTGTACAATGTGTGAAGCCCTTTTCTAGTGTCCCCTGCCATGATATTGCTAAAAGTGGTGCAAGAACCTACCCGAAACATCATACATAACACAGAGATGCCAACCTCTCCGATTTTATCATAGTCGCTATGAATTTTAGCTTCAAACTATGCTAATACGATTGCACTAGAAATTCTATTATATTTGAAGAATATTCAGTAAAATTCGGATATATAGACAAAAACATATTTTCATCAATTAAATACATTTTCTGACTTCACTTACCTTTCATTCATCAAATTTAATGACATTTGACTGGAATCATTGCAAGTAACAAACAATTTTAGCAAAATTATTTATCAGAAATCTGAAGCTGATCTCAATACCTTTGCGATTTGACCCACTTATTGTGTACCGGCCGAAAATGACGATCCTATTGGAATGATTTAACCACCTGACTGTTCCTTCCGTTCAATTATGCGGAACTGGTATGTGAAATTAAAGCTTCACTCTTGATTAGTGTCATATTTTTTTTCTCAGAATCCATCATGATTTTGAGTATTTAGTTGACTTCTAATTTTATGGGGGCGGTGGGGTAGCCTAATGGTTAAAGCGTTGGCTCGTCACGCCGAAGACCCGGGTTCGAATCCCCACATGGGCACAATGTGTGAAGCCCATTTCTGGTGTCCCCCGCCAAGATGTTGCTGGAATATTGCTAAAAGCGGCGTAAAACCAAACTCAGTCAGTCAGTCTAATTTTATGGTCAAACTACTAATTTTGATCCTTGAAACTACTATTTGCAACACTTTGGGGCTGGCATCTCGGTTAACATAATAAACAAGTTGTTATCCATAAAGTATCATACTTTTCTTAAAACCATATTCACACTCGTACTTAAGCAGCATGTTTCGGGGATGTCCATATGATAACACTCTCATTCATTTTTATAAGCACCCAGGCATTGAAGGCTACAGCCTAAGGAGATGACTACTGCATAGTCCACACCTGTAATCAGTGTTTTACCTTTCTTCTTCATTTCAGCAGTTGCTTACTCTAAGTTAAATCATATTGTGGTGATATTATGAAAAAGACATGTCAATTAGAAAAGAATGGTGTTTAGTGCATCCTGCAGAATGTTAACATGCAGGCCTAGTTTCTTACAGCAACAGCTCTTCACACTATCTATAGTTAGGCATGAAATACATGTGGACCCGTTTTTTTGTAAATATCTCTTCATCCTATGACCCAATCGATCTCAAACTGTGCAAATGGATGTTTTGTCAGACAACCTAATCACATTGTAAATCACCGATTTTATGCATTTGTATTAAAGAATCTGTCTATGTAACTGTCAACAAAATAAACAGCAGAACGCAGACGGCTTGCAGAGGGAGGGAGCCAATGACCTGTAACAGCGGCAGTGTTGGGTCATAAAGGTCATCGTTCGTCAATGTAGGTCAGCTATGCACGTAACAGGTATGAAGAGGTGTTCATTTCTAGCAAATAGCCAGCGAATGACATCTCTGATGACCCTAATGTCTTAAGAATCTAACTTTGGATGCCTACCTTTTTGTACAAGGTTTTGTTTATTGGTTGTTGGTTTATTTTTCGCAATTTTTAGCACGATGTTCTTTTTCATGTCAAGAGCAAAAGTTGTACGTTTCATGTAATCCGACACCTTATAAATCGGTTTGTTAACGTTTGCTTTCTTTTTAAAAAAAATTCAACACATTTCTAATTAAACGTTTAGCATCATCTGAATAAGCTTTCATGATGACAGCTAGAAGTAGTCAATGTGAATGATCCAAACGGTCTATCACTGTGCAGTGCACAGGTAACTATCATGCACTGCACGTGCATTTACCTTTATGACCCAACACTGCCGCTGTTACAGGTCATTGGCTCCCTCCCTCTGCAAGCCGTCTACGTTCTGCTGTTTATTTTGTTGACAGTTACATAGACAGATTCTTTAATACAAATGCATAAAATCGGTGATTTACAATGTGATTAGGTTGTCTGACAAAACATCCACTTGCACAGTTTGAGATCGATTGGGTCATTGGATGAAGAGATATTTACAAAAACGGGTCCACATGCATTTCATGCCAAACTATAGCCGTGAAGTTTTTCTGAGCAAGAAATATTGACAGACTTTTAGTATCGCTCCATTACAATTATGTCTTTAACTTTTTGCAGGTATTAAAAAATGAAGATATGAAACAGATGGAAAACAACTTCTTTATATCTTTATCAAGATATTTTGAAACACAATAAGTAAGTTGTCACTAGAAATTCAAATGAAGGCATTTACATTAAAGGTCATAAACCCATTATAAGGGCAGATGGGTTGCAACACAGGCCTTCCAAGTATGGGTTTTCTCTAGTTTGTTTTGAATAGTATATAACAAAAATTGTGAGAACTGATATGGTTTTTACTGCTTTATGCTTTATATCGTCTTTTCAAGCATAATGGAATTCTCCAAGTTAATAAGTAAAAAAAGCAGCTGTGTTTCTCTTATTGAGTAAATATTAACTTGATGTACTGCTTTACAAAGATGATTGTAGTCCTGTAAAGAATCTTTGACTCTTGGATCTTATTTCAGTTCTATATTTTGTCAAACTATCAATAGCTCAGCAAAGCAAGTTAGGGATCATGAACAGTTTGGGGATGTAATTCTGAATAGTAGGAAGTTGTAGTCTTCACATCAAAAAACATGCCCTGAAATTATCATGACCCCTTACACTTTTTGCTTGGCATATTGGTAATTTGGTGTTCCCCAAGAAAGGTTTTTATTGATTTCTAAAATGAAAGGAACAATTAATTAATTTGTCCTTGATGCTATCATCTGCTTGCTATCAGAGCTCTGGGTGGTGGAACTATTTTGGGGGATCTTGAGTGAGAAATGCAATGAATCCAAATGGACACTAAATTATCAGTCACGGTTTTACCTTAACTTACAGAACTGGCAATCAAGGGATCTCTGAATAGTTGATTTTATTATCCTTCATGGAATTATGAGGGCTCTGTAAACTTAGGCAAGAGTGTACTTTATTGTAAAATCTGTTAATTTTCTTTAATTACAGGAATATTAAATCTTTTTGTCAAGAGTTGGTACAATGATATTATTGTATGTTCTTCCGGTTTGCATATTTGTTATATATGCATGTACTTGAGCATACCAGATGCACATTACTGTGTCTTGTAAGACCCTTATCATATGTTTGGTTTGAGGGTAATATTGGGGGTACATTTGTTGTAAGTGTACTCACTGTCCAATAGTTTTGTTATGTTCCACACTCTTTAAGATAGTACTGACTTGAAACAGTTGTGGGTGAGATTCCCTTCCTGCTTATCGACTGTATAGTTGTAGGCATACAGTTTACCTTTGTGCCGCGTCAACTTGTCATGAGCAATACTGTTATTTAGACTGAACTCATCAATTCTTAATCATAAATACATTGAAGGGTCTGCAATGGTGGAACAATACACTCAAGTTATATATACAGTTGTGTTGAGGGACTTTGGATATGATTAACACAGACATGAATACTGTAATTACTAGTGATTGGCTTGCTTGACCAGCACAGAATATAGGTGGTATTGGACACAACTTTTTGTAGATGCTGGTTAATTATTATCCTTTGATGGGGAGACACTCCTTCTGGAAATATGTTGGTGCAGTTTCTTCATGTAATTTTGCCCTTTACTTTATCCCAGGTTCAGGACTGCCTGTTATACTTCCCAAAATTTCTTATTTGGATTGCAATAACTGTCAGGTGTTTGAGTTTGATGTAGTGTAAGCAAATGAACCTGTGAAGGAGTCTGGTAGGTATTGCATACTTTGTTGAAGCAGCCACCCTCTTAAACCTGGATTCATTATTACCATTGTATATAGAGTATTTATTCTTTATGCAAATTATATGTCTGTTTCATTGTGTAAACAATCAATATACAATCACATTTGTTTTTGATATAGCAGTACTTATGGAAACAAATTGCATAATCAACCATACTTCCACACTGTTGCTTCAATAACAATGTTGTACTTACTTTAACATTACTTGTAAGGTACATAGAACTGTCATTTTGAGTGTATTGAATATTTCATATAAGATTTAGTGCCATCTTGAACGTTTGTGAACTGATTTAGAACTTCTTTCCATTGATGATTCTTGGTTGTTTTTCTTACACAGTAGACCCCCTCTGCCCCGGAGCTTTTTTAGGTGTGGACATAATATGATGGCCACAATGAGTGCTGTGTATTGGAAGTGTATAAGTGAGTGGTTGCTGAGGGACACCATCTCCTGACAGTCAGGGCAGATGATATGGGTGCTGTTGTGACCATGCTCACACTGTTGAATACCTTTTCCCCTGGTACAGACTTGGTTGTATTACCTACTTCATGTTATGGTAGCAGAAAAAACACCATTGACGTTAATTTGCTATTGGCAATGTTTGCCTTGGGATAGGGGTGTCATTCTTGCAGATTAAGGCAAAACCATTAGGTAATGCTTGATGAGATTCTAACTGAAAAATACATATTTTTGTAATAATTGCTGCAGGTTCATTTTTGCCACAGTTATCTGAGTCACTTGGGATAAGGGTGTCATTCTTGCAGATTAAGGCAACCGTGTTGCAATGCTAGATGAGATTCTAACTGAAAATTGTTCAAGTTTTTGTAGTATTACTGAAGGTTCCTATATTCCACAGTTATCGAGTCACTTTCAATGATGTGTTTTCAGTGTGAGATTCAACTGTCAGATGTAACTGTACAAATGTTTTCAGCTGCCAGTTATAATGACACTCCTTTCACTATGTTAAAGCAAATTAAACTTGGAATTCACTTGCTGAAAATGTGGCTTGTTTGATGCAACTAAGAATGTTTTTTGTTCAACTGCACTTTATGTATAAGAAAAATGTTTAACAGCCTCTAGTGAGCAGAACATATAACGCTACAGAAAGTTTATACCAGAGTCTTTGTATGATGCTGGTTGAAGTACTGTCTGAATTATGAAAGATTGTTAGTCATTCAAATTATTCAGAATTTATCCAAATTCCCAGAATATTAGTGGAAACCATGAATTGTTCAAGAATTGCCTTCAACATTGTTGAATCAGAAATTCTGCATTACAATCTCAAATGAGACAATTTGGCAGCTGTGAGATATTTGTTTTAATTGCAGTTTTACCATGAATATATAGTTGGGGGTGCATATCAGCTGAAGACCTATCACAGCTGCTACTGTTGCTCCATGTGTCTGTTTCACAGTATCTGTGGCACATGGATGTCTTTGGTGGTGTTGGGAATGATATAGGAAGTAGGCTGTATCCAAGCGTCAGTGAAAATATATATGGTTTCTAATCCCACTGAATGGTTCCCAGCTGCATTGTGATGGTAGGGCTCTGTATACGTTCAGCTGTTAGATATTGTTGATCTTTTACTTTAGCAATGAGAGAAACGTTAAAATGTTGTCTTTCATCATACCTGTGTCCTGGTTTACCATTTCCATTAACCT